GACAGCTCCGGATGGCCCCCAGACGTCCGCAACAGGCCCCAAGAGAACCATCACTTGATGGTGATGGCGATGACGATGATGATGATGATGATGGTGATGATGATGATGATGATGATGATGATGATGATGATGATGATGATGCTGATGCTGATGCTTATGCTGATGCTGATGCTGATGCTAATGATGATGATGATGATGTTGATGATGATGATGATGATGATGATGATGAGGGTTGTGATGATGATGATGATGATGCTGTTGCTGATGCTGATGCTGATGCTGATGCTGATGATTATGATGATGACGATGACGATGACGCTAATGCTAATGATGATGATGATGATGATGATGACGATGGTGATGATGATTATGACGATGATGCTGATGGTAATGGTGATGGTGATGGCGAGGATGATGCTGATGCTGATGATGATGATGATGATGCTGGTGGTGCTGATGATGAGGATAATGATGGTGACGATGATGATGATTGTGATAATGATGGTGACGATGATGAGGAGGGGGATGATGATGATGATGATGATGATGATGATGATGATGATGAGGGTTGTGATGATGGTGATGGTAGTAAGTTTGGCCGTGATGGTAATGATGTCGGTGGTGATGCTGATGATGATTATGACGAGGAGGAGGAGGATCAGGAGGATGATGGGGAATAAAGGTGCTGTCAGATAGGTTCCCTCGTGACTCTAGGTGTTGGAGATCCGTGATGGTGATGAATACGCATAGCATGATAATGCTGATGGGTGTGGTGATGATGATGATGTTGGATGTGGTGGTGGTTATTACGATGAGGCGGGGTGGCAGGATGAGGAGGGCAACAGATGGTGTCGCAGTATTCAGTATTGCAAGAGTTGCCATGCAGTTTCCATGGCCCGTAGTACCGAGTCCGCACTCAGGATTTCTCATTCAGGTTTACGATCTAACAAAAGATTAAGCATTCCTTCTCAAGGGTTCCTTATGGAGGAATCCTGGCTGCACTCGATCGTGGAAATTCATCACGAAGGATTCCTCGCTAAGGGTTGCTTACCAAGGAATCCATCGATTACGACCCTTTGTAAGGGCTCTGTAGTGAGGATTATGTATTGAAGGTTCGGTTTGGGGTTCTTATTACGTGTTGTCGTCGAAGGATCTTACATTCAGGAGTCTTTCGTCAACTTTCCTTGCTACGCATTCCTTGGTCTGCGCTCATTCTATCATCATTCCGTAGTGGGGATTATTCCGAACGATTTCCTACCAAACGTTCCTTAGGAAAGGCTCCTTAACGATTATTACTTACGAAGGATGCCCCACCAAGGAATATAACCAAGCATTCCTTCGTAAGGATTCCTTGCTCAGCATTCCTTTTTGACTCCGTCGTAAGGATTCCTGGTTCGGGATTCAGTATTAAGGATTCCCCAGCACAGATTCTTCATTGAGGATCCATCAAGGACTTTTTACGAATATATCCTGAACAAGAAGTTTTGTTACTCAGGATTAATTGCAAGGGTTCCGGTCCGAGGAATCCTTAGTAAGGATTCATTCCGAAGATCTCCTAAACAGTTCATAGTACGGAGTCATTATTGCAGATTTTTATTCCGCTGTCCTTGCGAAGGATTCCTCATTAAGGATTCCTTATTCAGCATCCTTTCCAACGCTGACTACGGAGTCCGTACTAAGGATTCTTTTTTAATGATTCTTTAATACGGACGCCTGCTTCGCCGGCTGGCATGTCTGTTTCCCAGAGAAGAACACGTGGAGGATCTTCAGGATGTGATTTGTTGTTTGGCAGTGTGGTTGGGAGGGGTCCGCGTGTGGGTGTGGGTGTGGCAGTGCACCCCCTCCACCCCACCCCACCCCACCCCCCCGTCGTGTGGGCCGACAGGGGCCCAGAGCCTCGTTTTCTTACAACCGGGAGAGGGCGGGCACGTGTCCCCTTGGGGAGAGAGAGAGAGAGAGAGAGAGAGAGAGAGAGAGAGAATGAGAGAGAGAGAGGCACAGGGATCCGTTGTAGCCTTGCTGTCGCCGCCCCCCCCGCCCCTCCACCTCCCCACGACCCGCTTTGCGACCCCTCTCGCGACCCGCCCCGCGACCCGCCTCGCGACCCGCCTCGCGACCCGCCCCACGACCCACCCCCGGGGCCCGCCCGGCCCGCCCCGCGCACTGCGGGGGCCTTGCCGCGTCGTCGTCGTCGTCGTCGTCGTCGTCGTCGTCGTCGTCGTCGTCGTCGTCGTCGGCGTCGGCGTCGGCGTCGTCGGCGTCGGCGTCGGCGTCGGCGTCGGCGTCGGCGTCGGCGTCGGCGTCGGCGTCGGCGTCGGCGTCGGCGTCGTCGTCGTCGTCGTCGTCGTCGTCGTCGTCGTCGTCGGCGTCGGCGTGGGCGTGGGCGTCGGCGTCGGCGTCGGCGTCGGCGTCGGCGTCGGCGTCGGCGGCGTCGTCGTCGTCGTCGCCCTGCCGAGGCGCAGCTGCGCGACGGCGCGTGGCGCCGCTCGCGGGCGGCGAGGCGCGGCCTTCCCCCTCGCGGGCGGAAAGGGGTCCGGCGATTGCATCTCTGGAAGGCTGGCGCTCGCACCAGCAGTGCCAGGCGGCCCCGAAGCATATACCCAGACCCCCTCGGGCAGTGACAAAAAACATGACGGGAGGCCTTTCCACATTGTTTCGGCCTTTGGGGGCCCTGAATTGCGGGGCCTCGGGACAGTCAAAAAACAGCTCAGGATGAAAATCCGGTCCAGGGGAATGGGTCGAGCTCCGTGAGGGTCGACGTCACGAAAAAATCATGACGTCGGGGGTCTGGGGTAGTGCCAGACAGCCCCGAAGTATAGGAGAACCCCCCCACCTTGTCCTCCTCCCTCGGGGGGCAGGGGGAGAGTGGGGGGGGGGCAGCGCTTCCCGGTGGCGACAGGTTGGGAGGGGGAGAGTGTGGGAGGGGGGGAGTGTGGGAGGGGGAGGGTGTGGGAGGAGGAGAATGTGGGAGGGGGAGAGTGGGAGGGGGAGAGTGCGGGAGGGGAGTGTGGGAGGGGGAGAGTGTGGGAGGGGGAGAGTGTGGGAGGGGGAGTGTGGGAGGGGGAGGTTGGGGAGAGTGTGGGAGGGTGAGAATGGAGGGGCAGCGGTTCCCGGTGGAGAGAGGTTTCTTATTCTTCGTCCCCTGGCGGCTGCGGCGGCGCAGCGTTTCGGTCTCGCATGGGTTCGCTGCCCTTCGCGAAGTTTTTTCGCGTGGTGTGGTGGAACGTGCCTCCAACGATCCTGCACCGCCCAACAGATCACTGTCGTGGTCAAAGCGGTGTTTTGTTATAGTTCCTCAGCCCGCATTATCGGCGGTGGCATCCACCGAAGGATGGTGAGCCCGATCTCAGCCGTGGTGATAGTCTTCGGGCTTCTTGGATGGCCGAAGTATTACCACCAGGGTTCGTCTGCCCTGGGTGGACACAACTCCCCGTGCTGTGTTTGTGCAATATCCCAGGCTTCCAAAGACGCATTGCGAAGAGGTCAAGGCTCGATGATCCCTCTTGGGCAATCTTGGAGCCCTCTTGGGCCGTCTTGGGGCCCTCTTGGGGCCTCGGCGCGGTTTCGCGAATTTCGGGCGAAAGCGCACGTCAACGTCAACGTCGTCGTCGTCGTCGTCGTCGTCGTCGTCGTCGGCGTCGGCGTCGGCGTCGGCGTCGGCGTCGGCCTCGGCGTCGGCGTCGGTGTCGGCGTCGGCGTCGGCGTCGGCGTCGGCGTCGGCGTCGTCGTCGTCGTCGTCGTCGTCGTCGTGGTCGTCAAAGTCGTCGTCGGGCTCGACGATCGAGGTCCGGGCTCGGTGATCCCAGACCCCCCCGGAGGCTCCGGGCGTGGCTGGGCCCGCTCGCGCCTCGTGGGCCAGCCGGGAGAGGCTCCTCGTCGCCAAAGGCTGTGGATCCGCCCCGATGGGTCCTGGCCAGAGCCGCTCCGCAGGTCTGGGGGCCGAGCGTCTTCTCTTCGAAGGCTCGGTCTCATTGAACCGATCCCTACCCCCATCCCCGTCCACTTATGTCGGGCGTGTCCCCCTACAGGGGGATGATCGACGGAAAAAATTCAAAAAAACATTCCAGAAATGCTCCAAAAAGGTAAAAACAAATATTCAAAAACCAGTCCCCAGACTATTTCTGGATTATCTGTTGATTATTTTGGTGCATTTTTCATTTTTCGTCGAAAATCCCCCTGTAGGGGGACAGGCCCGACTGAACCGTCCACGTCTCGAGCCCCTCCGCTTCACCGCCTCAACGAGGGATATGTCCCGCGAAGCCGGGAGAGAGCAGCCAATGTCCCCATCAGGGGGGCAAGTCGGCCACTGGGGCCCGGCCCACGCGGGTGGGGAAGGGGATCGTTTAAGCGGTGCTCGAAGACAGACCCCCATCGCGTCGCGAAGGGATCACGACGGATGCCACGTTCGACATTTGGGGCTGTTTCTCCGGGCCCCAAGGCCTTCACGGCACGAGCCGGGAGGGGCTGGTCTTGGGAAGGGTCGAGATTTTGTTGTGGGTCGGCCTGGCTCGAGGGGCCTGAGCTCTCGGGAACCGAGGCTCCCGCCTCGAAGCTCGATTTTTGAGGCTTGAGGATCTAGGCTCGAGGCACTGGGGTCGGGGATCCAAGCGCCCAGGCTTTGCCTTTCTATCGGCATCTCAGGACGTGCAAGCGTGGATGCCCTCAGCGGCTGAAGTCCGGAGGGTTCAACATGATTTTGTCTTGAGTGCTCTTGGTTTCTTTCGGCTTGTAGGAGCCCCTGGAGGAAGAAGGGACACTCTTTCCCTCGAGCATCCCACCCTCCACGGGGGGAAGTGGCAATCGTCCCCGTCTGGAAAAAAAAACAAAAAACAGTCGTCGGGAATCAGGAGACTGGCCACCCCTGCCGACGTCGACATCCCGCCGATCACCCCTCGGCGAGCCCGGGCGCGCAGCAGGCAATGGAGGGCAAGCTGCGAGCGCCGAGCGTGTGGCACTAGACAGGCAGGTGAAACAAAAAGCGCTGAGCAACGAGGAAGAGGAGACGAGGAGGAGACGAGGAGGAGACGAGGAGGAGACGAGGAGGAGACGAGGAGGAGACGAGGAGGAGAGAGGAGGAGGAGGAGAGAGAGGAGGAGGAGACGAGGAGGAGAGAGGCGGAGAGGGGGAGGAGACACGGAGGAGACGGGGGGGGAGGAGGGACGCTCGACCCCTGCCGTCGAGTCGGAGCTGCTCGGCCTGGGCGAAGGGCCAGGCTCCTCTCGCGGCGGAAGCCCAGAAGGGGGGCGCCCTCGAGGAGCCGTGGGCTCTCGGTCCCCCGAGGAGCTCCCAGAGGCTTCTGCCGTCGGGGCGCTGAAGAAGGAACCCTCTTCGTTGGGGAGGGGCTCGGTGTTCCTTGATTGTTTTACAGTCTGCCTTGGGTTTTCCTGAGGTTCTCCAAGGGAAGTCGAAGTTTCACTGATGGGGAAAAAGGGGCCTCGTTCCTGATTTAGGGTTCCTCAGGTCAACGACCCGACTGTACCAGCTAGGGTCAAGTCGGGCCTGTCCCTCTACAGGGGGAAAATTCAAGAACAGTCCACAAATAGTCTGGGGTTCACTTCGGCCATTGGGTCAGCATTGCATGGAAGGCCAGAACGGCAGCAAGTAGGAGTAGCAAGCAGGTGAAGCATGGTCGCATCTGGAGTGGGCGATTTGCCGTCAATTCCTCAGTTGACTCCGAAGGGCAATCGGGTCGTTCTAAGCGGTCAGACATACCCAAACCATGTCTTCAGAAACGCTACTGCATTGTGCAATTCAATGCAATGCAACTCATTGTGCAAGGCAATGTGCAATCCCATGCACTGCCGAGCGCGCTATGCAATGCAACGCAAGGCTATGCGTTATGGCGTGCAGCATTATGATGATGTGATGTGGCATAACACGTCAGGTAACCGACTGCGATTCATGCCATACTGAACGAGAGCGGTGGCCCCCAGCCACACAAAGGAGGGCGGCAGTAGAACGAGGAGACGCCATAATGCATGAGCGACAGGAGGCAAAGAAAGGGAACGAGCCAAGGAGGTGCGCAAGGCGCACTCCCCACCAATCGTTTGGCGAAGTCTCAAACTTCTCCTTCACTGCTACGCGCTGCTCGTTCCTCCCCCATCCTCTCTCACCGCCTCCCTCTCCCTTCTCCTCCTCCATCTCCCGATGCTCCTCCCTCTCCTCCGCCACCTCCTTTGCCCCCTCCCCCTCCGTTCTCCGACCCCCAACTCCTGATCCCCACTCCTTCCGTCATCCGTCTCTTCCGCCTTATTTACCTTTCCCGTGTACACCCCGTCTGCGTCGCGTTTTGCGGCCCAGCTGCCAGCGCCAAAGAGGGATGTGAGGACGTGGGGTGTCTGGGATGGGTCAGTTCTTCACTTCCCCCCTTCACCTCCCTTGAATTACCAGCCCATTTCCCCAACACCCTTATCGGATTACCCCAGACATGAGCATCTCGCCCTCTCCCCCTCCCCACCCCACGCCCAGTCCGCATGCGGACCCTCGTCCGCCCCCCGCGTGCACGGGGGTCCGACTACAGGGGCGCATTCGGAGCCCTTGTTGGGGGGGTCCCCTGAGAGCCCCAGGAAGCCTTTGATTGGGGGCAAGGCAATCCGCGAACAGACTTCAAGAGGGCCTCGGGAAGCTACCCAGTGGATGCTACAGGGGGTCCATTTTGTTGCAGCATTTGTCTGCTGCCCTCCTGGAGTCCATCTTGAGCGCTCTCTTGGAGCTGTATGCCCGTCGCCGCCATTGCCCTCACTCCCTTTCTCATCCCCCTATCGAGCCTGTCGCCCCATCCGTCCCCCCGCCCCGTTCCCACCCCCACTCTTACACGACGCAGGGAGGAGAATGGTAAGGAGGAGGAGCAGGAGGAAGAAGCGCCGACAACTCGGCCTCCCGAGTTCGGCCTGAACACATCATCCCGCCGACAGGCAGGTCAACCCACTATCCACCCTAGAGGTGCTTGCATCCCGTTTCGCGCTGTGAGGGCGGTGCGGATGATGGTGGTGGTGATGGTGGTTGTGGTTATGATAGTGATGATGGTGTTGATGGCAACGGGGACGAAGGATATTAAGGGAAAAACTGATGTGAACTATAACACCAACCCTGTGTGTAATGAAAATGCTAATGCACCCGTACCCAGCGAACCATCGGGATGCACCTCTCAACACGCACTGGCGGCCAGTGCGCATGCGAGATCACGCGATCATACCCACTTGCTTCGGTCGACGGCTTGACGCATAGCCAGGCTTCGGCAACACCCCCAGAAGACCGCCCTGGATGCCTGGGGGCGGAGACCCCCGCTTGGCCCTATGACCTACACATCGATTTACGCCACGCCGTCGACGGAAACCAGTGATATGACTAAACCTTGGGGGCACTCTGCCCCAACTCCCTAAATTGCAAAATGCATTCTAACGAGCCCGCTTCGTGCCGCTGAGACGCGCGAGCCTGGGCCTCTTAGCAGCTGGCGCCTGGGACAGGCCCGTCGCCTCCCCCTCCAGGGGAGAGGCTGCA